AAAACATACCAATTAAACCATGTAGTGAAGATGTAATTCTTTTTAATTCACTATGATAAGATTCTAATGGATTTGTAGAAGTGACTGTAAAAGTAAAGGAGAATGTTGACGCATCTATAATACCCACTGCTGTATATTTTTTATATAATTTCTTCTAATATAATTTTGAATAGCGGGAATAGTATAATTGTTGATAGCATTTTGTATAAGGTTTTCACAACCAATTTTGTTCTTTTATGCATTGCTGCGATCATAATATTACGGGTTTCTTTTTCATAAATTTTTGACATCAATGTTCTCATAACATGAACAATGTAAAGAATTACTTCACATTTTTGTTCACCAGCATTTATACCAGGAAAAGCCTTTTTGACACTTTTAGCTTCAATGCTACTTTGACCCATTAAAACATAACGAGGAGACCAATGACAATAACTACAAACTATTGTTAATGCCTTTGAAATGGTATCACCATCTTCACTACTCACAAAAAAATGAGCACCTGCATTCAAACATCCATAAGTATCACAAATTTATAAAGTAAAAAGACGCTAATCATATCTATTGGTTTTGTGAGTTAAATCAATAAGTGTTAACCATCTGTGATGCTGAAGTTTTTTTAGTTGTTTAGGATGTGCAAATACAATACCCTTTGTAGATTTGTGAAAAACATCATAATTTTTAACATAATATCCTTTTTCTATTAAATAAGACATAGATTGTAAAATATCAGATTCTAAATCAAAATCACCAATAAGATGAGCTTCTATAGGTCTGCGAACTTTATATTTGATATTAGTTACTTTCTTTCTTTTTAATTCTTGTACACTTGCACCAAGACCTAATTTGATTGTTACATATTCTTTAATGGCGGATGTAATTGCTGGAGGTGAATAATTTTTAGATGCTTCTTGTTCAACTAAAGTTTGGATAGCTTGTGAACTTTTAATTCTATCAACTTCTATTAAGGAATGTGTATGATTGGGAGAGTTTTTATATTGTTCAACTTTGATCATATTTGATGAGAATAACCAAGAAACTTTAATTTTTGCAAGACATAAACCAGATGGTCGTATTTTTGTTATTCGGCGTTTTTTATTTGAAATATTTTCTTTTTGTCATATACTTGACTCCCGATGCTCTGTAAAACAGCAAGCAAAAACTTTCCAAGTATCACCATTTGCTTGTTTATATGAGTTCTATTGTGTCCAGACATTTGAAACTAATGCCCACCAATCTTTATCAAAATCTCCCATCGGAATTTCCAAAGAATGGTTTAAATTAAAATGAAAATTCCATTTTTCATCCGGTAACAAAAGTTCTGTTGTTTTTCTATTATAAATATAATAGAAATTTTATTTAATCTGTTGGAATAAAAATTTTATTAAAAAATGTATTAAATAAAGTAATTTCAAGAGCGGCATATATATTACTTACATTAAAATATTAAATCTGATAAAGTTTGCAATTAACTTAATAACTGGACTTACTTAACCTTTAAAAAAGTAGCAAACCCAGCTTTTGAAGAGTCAATCTCTGAAAAAGCAGCAGCAAACCATACCTCTGAAAAAGTAGCAGCAAATCCAACCTCCGAAGAAGTAGCAGCAAACTCAACCTCTGAAGAAATAGCAGACATTGAAAGGAATTTTTTTTTCTTTTTTTTTAACGTTAAAAGAAAAAAGACTAAAAATGAAAAAAAAATTAGTCTCTTTTTTTAAACTTTTCATAGAAACAAATAAAATGGAGCAATAAATACTTTACTTACACAATTTCGTAAAACCTGCTTATAGTGCTTGCTTGTAGTGCCCTGATTGCTAAGTAACAAACACCTTACATTCGTTATGTTAATTGTTTGTTAAAGTTTTCTTTAACGTTAAAAAAAACAAAATCGAAAATGTTGACTAAAATTAATACGTGAATCCTGACCAATCACAATCATCGTCATCACAGACTAATTATGGACATCATAACCATCACGTGACTCTACTCTGCTTTAGATGACCCTTTTTTGAAAATGCCCAAAGATTTTTCTTTGACAATCATAAGTTGGCATTGATGTTTTCAAACTTTATCAAGAAGTTCTTTGAAGAAGAATGTTGTGAGTTGAGTGACAATCGAGAAACACTTAGATTTATTGTATGTATAAAGTTCACCAGTAAGGAAGGGACTCAAAGTCTAATAATATTAATGTATCTATTATTGCTTGAAGAAGGCAAGACAAAGATGTTATCAAAGATATCTAAGAGTTCAAAAAGGAAAGTAGATTCGTTGAACCTGGGGTAGTGTAAGAGCAAGGAGACAAGATGTAATTTGGTGAGTGAGATGATGTTGGTAATTATTAAAGAATAAGCAGGACATGACCAAAAATGCGTGATAGTTTCAGATATCAGGTTGCAGCCAATACAGTTCCAATTTTTATAAAGGTTAGGGTGAAACCTTTCCATTCTATTGAGTACAGGAAGTTCATCAACAAAGTTTTTAATCATGAAGGTTTTGAGACGAGTGTCAGCGAAGAACATGATCATTGATGATGAATCCAATGAGAAGATGTTTCAAATGGAGAACCAGTTGATATCGTTTAAGCAGGTAAGGAATCTAAGATCTCTATTTCTTTGAAGAGAGAGAAAGTCTCCAAAATGTCGAATATTGAAAAATTGTTTGAAAAACTTTTGAATTGAGGATTCAATAGTAATGTCCTGAAATTGTATAGCGAGATTGTGAGATCTAATTCCAGTTAACACGGGTATTATTGCAGGAAGAGAGCGACGATTTTTTGCAAGAGAATCAGCAATATCGTTTAAGGTGTTACTATCATAAGCTTTAACTTTGTGTAATGTGACCACAAGGACCAGAGAATCAATAATGTGTGAACAAGATTTCAGATAATATAATTAGGGATGTTTTCAAGAGAGTTGTTAGAAAGTCTATAGTTGATAATGATGGAGTTGAAGCCATGAATTAATGCTTGACTATCTGTGTAGATGTGAATCTCAGATGATTTGGGAGAAACAAGGAGAGCCGTCATAAAAGCGAATAACTCTGCATAAGTAGAAGAGGACCAATTTTCAATCGATGCTTCAAATTGATGATATTTATAGTCAAAGTCAACACAGATCCAGCCAATGCCCATTTTACATAATTCAAAAGTGGGATTAATTAGCAAACCATCTGTAGGAGGTTTGAAGCAGATAGCGCAGCTTGAAGGGAAGAAAGTGTATGGAAGTGTGGGGAAGAAGGAAGAAGGGTATAGATGATATTACCAGATTCAGAGAGTAAGGTTGGAGGAGCTGGTAAATTATAGAACATGTTGAAAGCGATCCTAGAAAGTTCATTTAAAGAATATTTGAGACACCTTCCTTGTATGTTATGTGAATTAGGTAGCAAGTCAACTCGAAAAATTCTATCTGTTTGGATTCTGAAGGTACAACTGTTATTTTGGGCATTAACCGCAAAATTTATATACCCAGTGCATTTGATGAGGAAAGTACTATGATCGTTATTTCTAGTGGTAATATAGTGAAAGCAAATAAACCATCCAAGACTTGAAATCTTGTCAAAAATGTGACCGAAGGAAATGGTATTCAAGATCAGGTTCCATAAGGCAATGAATTCTTTTCTTTGATTGATGGAAAAAGAGGTGACAGCTAAATGTTTATAAATAGGTAAAGGATGATCTAATCTAAATTCTAATTTAAGTAATCTACTATTATTGTTATCTAGTACTAAATCTTTTAAGTCTGTGAAAATCTTGAACGATCCATACGTAATGTATGATGATTAAAATTCCTAAGAAATAAATCAGATTTATCAATTAAAGATTGACCAGTAGCGTCAGTAAGTTGATCTAAATGTGTTGACAAAGAAAGTTAGACCATTTAGAAAATAAATTGGCAAGAAAATATTAGTTAGAGGAAATTGCCTTCCTTTAATATAATTAATTAAAGTAAGAGATAGTGTAAAGGATAAATGTGAAGATGAAACTTTAATTAAACTCAAGGAAGCACCAATAAAGTTATGATGAAATTGGCGATTAAAGGGTTGAGTCCAAGAATCTAAGGGAGAAGTCAAAAGAGAACATTATGATTGTAATTAAAATAATCGGATAGTAGAAATGTACTCATAAAGTAAATTATTATTGAATTGATGTAGGAGAGCACAAGAAAGGAACTTAATTTGTAATGACCAAAGATCATTCAAATTATAAAATTTGTAGAAGTTTAACAGGACATTCAGTAGTGTGATAGCGAACTTGTTTTTCTTTTTAAAGAGTGAACGAATAGAAATAAAAAATTTATCACATTCGGGTTTGGATAGGGGAGTGAGTTGAATATGATATTCAATATTAATAATATATACGAATTGTTTATCAGTAATAGGTTTATATCTCATTGTGTTGATAAATCTTTGAATGTCAAGTGAAATTTGTTTTTTGACGAATGCAGTTGAATGTTTATAATTAATTCAGACACCTATAAATCTTATAGAGTCCTGTTCAGCGTACAAGTTGACATAAGATGAACTGAATCGTAAGTTAACTAGGGACTAGTGAGACGTTTCGTAGCCAAGAGTTTTGATTTTTGTTTGTTGAGAGCAGAATGTGTGAAGTTGTAAAACTCATTTGCTACTTCTAATATAGATTCAAGGTCTTATTGATTTCCAGCAATCCAATTTGTATCATTCATAAAAGCAAGGAAGAATACTTGAGCTGTTAAATGATTGAAGGATAAAGTGGTAAGATCAGAGATCCAACGATATTCAATGATGTATCCTTTGTTAAGATTGGCGACTTCACAAAGGAGAGGATCAAGATAGATACACTATAAAAGCGGGAATATAACTTTGCCTTGGTCTATACCAATTTTTACATCATAATATTCTGATATACCATGAGCAATGAAAACAGCATTTTTCGTGTAGTGAAAAGGTTGATCAAAAGATCTACAACATGGTTAGGTACTTTAATATGATGTAACACCTTATAAAGAAAGGATAGATCAACACAGTCATATGCTTTTGAAAGATCTTGGAGTAAAATCCAAATTTCCTTATTATTTTCATTTGCATCCTTGAGTAACATATTGAGAATTTTGATAGGAGTCTCTATTGAGCCTTCCAGCAATCCAGCGAAATTGCTACCTTGAAAGATAGAGTGTTTGGCTATAATATTTGAAAGACGATTCGTGAGAATTTTGACAAACCTTTTTTCGCAGTTTCAAGTAATATGATAGGTTGAGTTTTTGTGATGTTACATTTCCAAGCCATAGGTTTGGGAATTAAAAAGATGTGCGCAATTTTCCATTCGTTGGGGATGTCACTAAAAGTGAAGCACATGCAGATGAGTTGCCAAAGAAGATATTGTAATTTGGTGCCAAGATGAGTCAGCATTTCATTAGTGATGCCAGATGAACCTGCAGCCTTATCCTTGGGTAGCTGTCAAAGAATAGCCATTTGTTAATTATAGGGGTTGAAGAAGATTATCATAGCAACTGCTGTTAACGTAATCTTTTGGAAGGTACTAATTTGTCCAACGTGAGGACAAAGGTTGAAACAGAGTATCAGGTAAAGCAAAATTTTGAAAATGATATTGAGTAGCCTCTTTGATTTTACTAGGATCAACAGTAAAGATGGTAGCCTTTATGAATATGTTGCAATATACCACTGTTATAACATATGTTGCAACATAGTTGCAACATTTGAAAAAATTTATTAATTTGTTGCAACATGTATTAATTTGTTGATTGGTTGCAACATTTATTTGATTGGAAAAATATTTTTTCATCAAACGATTTAGGCATTGTTCGATTGGAATGATTCGTTTATCATTCGATGAAACAATATTTTGGATCGTTCCAATCAAACAATGCTTAAATCGTTTCATCAAATGATGCTTAAATCGTTCGATGGAATGATATTTTGATCGTTCCATCAAACGATGCTTAAATCGTTTGATGGAACAATATTTTGGATTGTTCCAATCAAACAATGCTTAAATCGTTTCATCAAATGATGCTTAAATCGTTCGATGGAATGATATTTTGATCGTTTTAATCGAACGATGCTTAAATCGTTCGATGGAATGATATTTTGATTGTTCCATCAAACGATGCTTGAACGATTCATTTATCATTTGATGGAACGATATTTTGGATCGTTTCAATTGAACGATTCGTTTATCGTTCGATGGAACAATATTTTGATCGTTCCATCAAACGATGCTTAAATCGTTTGATTAAAACGATTTTATCAATTAAATCACAATTAAATCATAAACTTTAATCACAAATCAAATCAAATGTATTCTAACAAATTTCATCATAGT